CTCCCTCTCCCTCTCTCTCTCTCTCTCTCTCTCTCTCTCTCTCTCTCTCTCACACACACACACACACACACACACACACACACAGTTTTGTTTTGTTTTTTTTTTTGTTTGCTTTTTAAATTTAGAAGGGAGTCAAGTAGAGAAAACACAATGTAGTCTACTGGAAAAACAATGAATGAATTAATGTTCAGTCCATGCTCCATTACCAGCTTACCTGTGGTGTCCTAGACTGGGTTATGTTGTTCTTCCTCGGTGTCCTCTCCTGCCAAGTGGGAAATCATAACCAACAAATTTATCTCATATGCCCTTGAATACTATATCAAGGGATATTCCAGTATAAGAGTATATCAGTTTAAATGGGAGGCAGTTATTAGTCCTCCATCTACTTAGGAACCCATTATACCATAATATAAAAATATAAGGCTGGATCATCCATTAAAGAGAATGAGTTAGGTGTCAATTATCATGGAAATAGACAACTATCCACATTTTTAAAAGAATTGATTTCAATGTGTACCTTTTGTTCTGATAAGAATTATCTCTGTAGAAGAAAGTCAGTCCCAGTAACACTTAAACTGGGTAGGATGGATTCTTGATGTTGTTAACATGGTACCAATACTAAAGAAGGGACTGAAGTTTCAAGTGCTTAGAACTTTGGTTTCAGAGGTCACTTAGTCCAATCTTTTGTCCTGGGTATCTCTACTCCCTCTGACAAGGAAGCCTTGCTGGATTCTTTCAGCCTCTGCTTGATGGGAAACTCCCACCACCTTGGAGAAGCTCTTTGGAATTTCGAACAATTCTGACAAATCATATTAAAGAAAAACTTCCTGTTTCTTTGTAATTTTCATCCATTAGTTTTAGTCCTGCTCCCCAAATACCAGAATAAGGCTGTTGAAGAATGAAATCAAGCTCCCTGGAGCCATCTCCTTTTTCAAAGAAATGATCTTAGATTCTGCAATTTTTCCCCTTAGAGTAAGGTTCCATATTCCTTATTGTTCTGGTTACAGTTACTTCCTTCTTTCCAGATGGTTGTTTGTCTAGATCTCTCTTAAAGTATGCTGCCAGGTAATGCCCCTTGAGCAGTTTGTGGAGATCTGACCAGCATAATCACTTCCGTCATTCTTGACATTATTCCTCTTCATGCAGCCTAAGCTGGCTGGCATAAGCATTTTTGACAGCATCGAGTCTTTTCCTTTTAGTGATTGCCTTGGCAAAGGCAGCTCACTGCCACTATGCTAGAGTGAGAAAAGACACAGTAGAGTCTGGCAGGACCTTGGAACCTTTACAGAAGATAGGCTGGGGCAATGGACGGGGATAATAGATGGGGAGAGGATAAAGACAGAGATGTGGAGCTATAGTTAGGGTGGTTAAAAAGGAAAGGTTTAGAACTGAGAGAAAATAAAGTTAAATTGGGGCTGAAAAAAATTGTTTTTAATTAGGATGTTGGAAAAGTAATCAGATCCTATAATAGATCTTACTCAGTGGCAGCTACCATCTGCATAAAGTAAGGAAGGCTTCAAGGAAATAAGTTGTTTGGAAAAATCCAGATATCATTGCTTTATATGTTTTGATGATGTGGTATAGAACCTCCAAATGGCCCCTAATGATTCTTATCTCCTGGTATTCATATTCTTCAGGCTGACCTAAGTAACCAGTAATATATTGTGGAAATGATGGAGTGTTACTTCTGAGATTAAACCATGAAAGATGTGACTGCTGCCTTCTCTCTTAGATTACTGTTCTGGAGGATGTCAACCACCACGTCATGAAGACACTCAAGCAGTCCTACAGAAAGATCTTTCTGCCAACAGCCAGCATCAACCTACTAGCCATGTGAGTGAGCCATGTTGGAAGATCCTCCCTTAATTCCAGTTAAGTCTTCAGATAACTGCAGCCCTGATAGACATCTTGACTGCAATCTTTTGAGACCCTGAGCAGAACCATCCAGCTAAGGTCCCCTGAATTCCTGACCCACAGAAACTGTGAGATAATGTTTATTGCTGTTTAAGTTCCTAAGCTACTAAGCTTTGAGGAATTTGTTATACAGCTATGAATAACTAATATAGATGAATAGAAAGGAGGAATAAGAAGTAAAGGGCCCTCATACTAAGCCTGGACTTGTCTTGGCCCCTAAGGATGGAACAAGTGCTAGCTTCATTTCTACTTTTAGACACTGCTGACAGCCCCCATAGGGCTAGAGGATGACAAAGAGGGAGGGCATCATGTCCTCTTGTCTTCTCTTCTCCCCACCGACCTACCACTCTTTGTTTTTTAGGGGAGGACTATGATGATATTGAGAACTCACACAAATTTTGTTTTTGGCTTTTCAGCGGCTCCTGGGGAAAGATGCACTCACTGCCTTTATCCATTTTCTAGGCTATGGGTCCTTCAGAGCATGGCTTGGATCTTATTTATGAACATTTATGAACAATGAATGATATTAAGGGGTAAGGCAAAATCCCTTCCTCTTCCTGAATTCTGAAGATTCCATTCTTAGAATAGAATCACAGTTGATCATTGAAATCTTGATTAAAAAAATAATAATAGTAATAAGCATGCCATCAGCCATTTTCACTATTAAAAAAAACCCCTCGATTTAAAAAAATTCCTCTATTTAAGCTTCTTTCTTTAAAGGAGCCTCCCTTTGCTTTTTTATCCCATCTCTTCTATTAAATGTTGCTTCAACCGTTACTCAAGCTCCCAAGACGCTTAATCCAGGAGACCATAGAGATCTGCTGCCAATATACCAACAACATATCACTATCCAGTTGCCCAAAAGTCCCAGTGGAAAGAGCCCTGGAATGGAAATGGGAGGCCTAGGCTGTTGTCACTGATTAGCCTATATGTCCCTGTGCAAGTTGCTTCCCCTCTCTAGACCTGTTTCTTTATCTTAAACTGAGAGAATGAGTCTAGTGGGTTCTCATAAGTTAGTTTCAAGGTGCAATCCCAAAGTGAGACCAGTGGTCAGCATACTCTGAATAACTGTTACGGTTACAGTACTAGGTTCCCTGGACTTCCCTTTTTATCCCAAGGATATGGCCTCAGTGAAAGGCTGTCAGGTTTACTGCGAAGAGTCTTTCGGTTTTGAAAGACACGATCTCTGTGTTTCTAGTTTTGTCACTAACTCTGGTTGACGTTGGGCAGATTCTTCTCTCCGGGCCTCAGAGCAGGGAGGTCCCTGTTATCCAGAAGAGGCTCAAAGACCTAGGCAAGTGACTTAGCTTTCCGCGAGATTATTTCAACAACCTGGATAGCTCAGCCCCTGAGCCGGGTCCCGCCTAGCCCGCAGTCCTGCTCCGAGGTGCAGTCGAAACTTAAACCAGCTGTGGGAGCTAAGGGCGGCTTGTCTTCGGTGGAGGTGGCTACAGGTGAGTTCTTAAAGGGGCCGCCTGAGTTTCAGTAACACATGAGATTGATGACTGGGCAGGTGACACAGGCAAGAGGGGATAAAAGAACGAAGGAGTGAAAGAAAGAACGAATTTTCTCTTCCCACCCTTAAGTGTATTCATGCTTGGTATTAATCGCTTAGACTTAAAAATCTTTTAGTAAGACCCTCAAACTCTTTTCAAGTAACCAATCTCCCTATTTTACATGCCCTTTAATTCAGCATCCCCAAAACTTTTACTGAGGGGCGAATAACAACTTTTAAGAAATCAGTACAAAGTGGAAGACAGTGCAGAGATGGCATTCTCCCACCCAAACTCTCTCCCTTTCCCCCTTCCCAAGCACCGCCCCCTCCCGCCCCTTAACGTGGGTGGTGCAGTCAACTCCTCCCCAAGACCGCTTTTCTGGGTTGGGGACCCATTCCCAGGAGCATCGGGTACTTTTTCCTGACGTGGGGTTGAAAACAGCTCGTATTTAGTGAGGTTAAAGGGTGTCTTGGAATCTGTGTTTTGGATCTGGTGTAGCTGAAGTCACGTCTTTCTTCAGACACTCCAACCCGTCCGGGCCTGGCGCGCTACTCGCTCAGAACCGCGGGACACACCGGCGGGCTAGGGCGAGGTAAAGGCGGGCTCATCCAGGGCCACCCCGGACCACCTGTAGAGTCCGTCAACTCCTTTGTCCCTAGAGCCCCTTCGGTGGCCTCCCCTTTAAGCGGCGAGGTTCACTTGGGATACTCCCCGGGTCCCCTTTGCCGTTCCCCAGCCCCCTCTTAGTCCTCCTCCCCCCTCGAACCCAAAGGTAGCAGCGCTGAGAGCCCGGGGCTCGGCGCGAGACGCCTCCTCACTTCCCATTGGCTGAGAGCTCCGGGAAAGCGGTCACGTGGGGCCGCAGCAGTCCAGCTCCAGGGCCGCCATCTTGGCGGAAAGTTTGGGGGGAGAGCGGTTGGGGGCGCGGAAAGAGGCGAGGTTCCGGGGGTGGAGCGGCTAGGAGGGGAGAGGGCGAGCGGGCTAGCGGGCCAAGGCGAGCGAGGAGGCGGCGGCGTCCGTGGAGAAGGAAGAGGCATCGGGGGTGCGGCCGCCGAGGGGAGCTCCTCCCCCGTTCCTTCACCCCCTCAGCTCGGCTCCTCGAGCCCCGGGCGGGGCGGGGGGACGTGGAGCGAAGCCGGGCGGGGGAACCGCCCGGAGTTGGTCCCCGGCGCACCCCAGCTCCGAGCATACGCCGCTCGCTGGAACTTTGTGGTGGCGCCGCAGGTGTGGGGGCCCGCGGAGGTGTGCATGTGGGGCGTGAGGGCGTCGCGGAGAGCGGCCGCTGCCCTGTCCGGCCCCCGCTGGAGTAGCCCGGAGGAAGCAAGTGAGGAGAAAGGCAAGCGAGAGGAAGGGGCGCGGGCGGGGCGCGGTGATTTGCTTAGCTGGTCCTTCTCGGAGCGCTTTACAGCCGCTGATGGCTTAAGAGATAAGGGTCGGAGCGCCTCTTGACCCCCAAGTAATAGGTTGGGGGTATGCATGCTTATGCCAGGGAAGGGGTGGCCTCGCGTCTGGGCATTTAGTGCTTTTTGGAGAGGGGGCAGTTTTCGAGGAGAATTTGGAAGCCAGCTTCGTTATGCTCTTAATTTGCAGAGGTGCCCACCTCTAGGTAAAAGCTTTCTAGTTTGACACTGCTGGGTTTGAGGATTCTTCCTCTCACTTGGGAAAACTTTACCAGGTGGGCTTTTCAAATTGGGCTGAGAGTTTTTCGATTTGAGATTTGGGGGAAAATGCAAGTTTAACCACGATTTCTGTTCTTTCGTTCTTTTTCCTTTCTGTTGTATGTTTTTAAAGGTGTGTGCCCTCTTCCTGATTCTGGAGAAAAATGCCGGTCCGGAAGCAAGGTGAGAATTTATTTCGGAATGCTCTTGTGGATGTCACTTGCCGTTCTGTGTGTCTGTTTACTCATGGCTGAGTTTTAAAAATGTGTAACTGGTGAGAGCACCGTCTTAGCCTTACTACTTAGGGAATCTAAACCTCACATCATTCAGAAGATGGAAACACCTATATGTCAAACTTTCTTCCTTGATGTCTCTCTCTAGTGAGGCAGTTAATTTTTCTCTCTGAAATGTCTTTGAAAACTCTGAATTGCTGTTTTAATATTTCACTTTATCATTCTTATTAAACACTGTTTTGTGAGCAAATGTGGGATACTAGCTAAGAGCTACTATTTTGAAACACTTAAGATTTGGATTATGATGACATCATAATCCCTGGCATAAATTGTAGATAATCTGCTTTTGCATATCAAATCAGCTAAAACTGTGTTACTAATACTTTGATCAAGTGATCTTTTATTGTGGTAGACTACCAGTACAGATTTATTAAAACTACTCACTTTCCTTCTTTTTCTACTGTGAAACGTTTAAATTTTTTGGATCATTCTAGGGAATATGTGTGTACAAGTACATAGTAGCATCCATTGACCAGGAGGATTTTGAGAACTGTTTACATGTCTTACAGAATTATTTGCTGCATAGCTAGTGTGTAATACTTTCTTGTAAATATAAAATTTCAATCAGACTGTTTTTCTTCTCAGATACCCAGAGAGCATTGCACCTTTTGGAAGAATATCGCTCAAAACTAAGCCAAACTGAAGACAAACAGCTCAGAAGTTCCATAGAACGGGTTATTAACATATTTCAGAGCAACCTCTTTCAGGCTTTAATAGGTGGGAATTAAAACTTTATTTGTGATCATTATGTGTAATTTAGGCTTAATGCTCCTTTGAATTCATTTATTTTAAATTTAAGAGAGTGGTGTACTTGGTTCTCTATGAAATATTCGGTAACTTGAATATCCACTGAGTTTATATTTTGAATACTCTTTCAAAAAATATCTAAGAACCAAAACTTGCGGTATCTTTCAGTGGTCTTCGAAAACAATGTTTCATATCTTAGCATTAACTAGTAAAAAAGGGAGTAGTTGTAAAAATGTTTCAGGACCCAAAAGGTAACAACTTAGTAACTGTTACTTTGTTTCTATATTTGACTTATATTTCTCAGAAGTCCCTGAAAATGTTTGAAGAGTTCTGCTATGTTTAAGAACATTTATTACCTTAATATAGATCTTTGTTTACATTTGGAGTCCAAATTTTAGACCTAGAAAATGGTCTTAGAGATGATTTTGTCTAATCTTATTTTATAGACAAAATTGAAACAATTTTATTCTTAACTGTAACTGAAATTTGAGGTGGTGCATTGTTTCAAAGGAGAACTGGGCAAATGGTTGTGTCCTATTATATTAGCTGTAGAATGTGGGTGCTATGGAACAGTGGTTTTTAAGCCCCCCCCTCCTTTTTTTTGAAGTAGCTAGATTCTTTTTTAGAACAAAATCTCTTGTAAACAATCCCTAATGTATAAAAGAACATGATCTATCTCTGGCCCTCTCCTTCAGTGTGCCTTAAAGTGTGCAAACTACGGAACTAGAAAATTTGGCCCTTACAATTCTGAGAATGAAATTTTTTAAATTAGTCATTGATTAGATAACATATTAAAATAAGATGTATACTTTGCATTATAAAAATTTCTTCAGTAACTTCCAAGTAGATAGAGCCTTACATTTATGTTGATAGAGTAACTTTTGATGTGATTTGAGGATTCCCTTATACTTAGTGTACCTTGTTGAAAAAGTTATTGGTAAATTGATACTTTCTACTAAATTCGTTTTAGAATTGAAGATTTTAAAGACTACTCAATACACCTGAATAAAATTTTGCCTTATTATAAACTTTTAAAAAATGCAAGAATAGAGTACAGTATAATGCAATGTTATATACCTGACACCCATCTTCAAAAATTATCAGCATTTTCCCTTTTTTGTATAGACTGATGGACATTTTTGACATTTGAATTTCTAAGCTCTAATGCTTTAGGTCCAAATGGATGATCAAATTGGATTCTTCTGGGGGAAAAAAAGCAAAAAATGAAGGGAAAATTATTTTTAGTTATTTGGTTTTCTAAATAACATTAAACCTAGAAATGTTTCATATAGTAGGATCACTGTTTAGAGAAAAGTAGTATGACTTTTATGTCCTAGATGTAGACATAGATGGGTAGATAGATGCAGTCCTCCTTTGTGTGTAGTCTGCAATTTAAAATTAAATGGTTGGTGAAATAACCAAACAATCTATGCTTCTTAAATTGGAGGTAGATTTGCTATGTTTGGAAGAAATGGTTGTTTTTTT